TTACAAAATATTATAGCTTGACACTAAATAGTGTGTAATAAATTACAAACTAGGCAAAAATAAATGATTGCCGTCATCTAAATTTCAAAACCTATATAAAGCAACAGCAACGGTGATCGAGCAGTCGCAGGGTGTCACGGCTAATGACAAGTTTTTATTTAAATGTTAATTGTGTGTTTTATTGTGAGATTTTGAAGTTATTATAATCTAATTTGGTTTTATACTATAAAATATTTGTTTTTAATTTTTTTCCTAGTAAATTCGGAGTCTCACTTCCTAGTGTGTGTACTGAAGCGTTTGTGGCGATAAAACACTTTTGTAAAGTAACAAGATTTTTGTTTCTGTATTGACTTTCTCATCCAGTACTTGTTATCGTGGTCACTTGTTCGAGAGTAAAAATATCTTAGAGTTATAAAGTATAAATCCTGTGGTACTTGTTAATTTGTCCTTTTGTCCAGTACTCGTTATTATGGTCACCAAAAGGAGAATTAAATAAGTTTTAATCAAAAAGTATCGATATTTACTCTTTGACGGTCTGAGACTCAATAATCGAAATATATCTGTTATATATGTCAAGCCTTTGCGCGGTGTATACGACAGGTCATACTGTAAAATACTATAAGTAGATATATGTGAAAAATGTTCATAGAGTCATCAGGTAATCGACAAAATGCGTATGAAAATGTAAAACTTCTAATTATTCTTCTTCTTTCTGGGCTTTTACAGGCCTTTAAGGCCCATCGCTGCAACAACATATTGTTTCCATTCTTCTCTATCATTTGCACATTCTTCTGCCTTTCTTACGTTCAGGAGTTTCAAGTCTATTTCTAATTGTTTGTCAAATTTGAAAGAAAATTGTTAAAATAAATTAAATTTCCATTTTAATTATTCACATCTGCATAGATATTATTAGAAGTTATTAATATTTTCGAGAGAAATACACCAGTGCTTCTACAAAAGTAAAATCACGTAAACTATTTAATACAATGACTGTATTAATAAGCAATAATAAGAACCATTTAAATTTATCAATTACATAAAATTGTAAAAAAAAAAAATATGATTAATAAAATAAATAAAATAATTAGGTAATTGAAATAACTCGTCAACTAATTAACTTCAGTCTATGAAAATATTTTTTAAAAATCATGACTATATATTAAACTAAAAAGATGAAGAAAAACAATATGAACATTATGTTATTTTATGAAAAAGTATTAACAAAGGATAAAATTTGATTTGATTTATTGATATTTCAACATTATAACATACATAATATTTAAATATAAATTATAATATTAGTGTTAATACCTACTCCCAATAAGCAAAGCTTAGTTGGAAGTATGGAGTCTGGTACATAAATATTTATAACATTCAGTGGTATATTCAGGTATTTTTTTGGCGGAGCACTAATCAGTAACATATTACATTACAAAATAAAACCATTGTACGCGAAACCTCAATGGTCGGCCAGAGGTAATCCAACGGCTTTGCCACAATCGATACAAACCCGACTATAACGTCAGTAAAAGGGGGAATGTGAGATAGAGGTAACCTCAGACTTAATATCCATCAAAAATAATCGTACCCTTAGCTTATATTAAAATAAATAAATTAAAATAGTAATGATAATAATAATATACGATGGGTGGGCGCCCGAATTAGATTAAGAACATGAAAATATGAATCAATAATTATAACAATAAATAATGGACAATAAAACAATCCAGATCATGCTACGCGCCACCGGCCACGGTAAATGGAAAACTGGTACGGTCTGTATAAACGCGGAATACTGGTACGGTTCACAATAATAAAGGTTTCCCAAACTTTTATGAAAAAAAAAAGAATAAAATATCAACGATTATTTTTAATTTTATTTTACCGACGTTCCATGGGAAAACACGACTCACGAGTGACTGCGAATGAAAATAATGTGATAACGATAAGATACGATAAATATCTATTAATCAATAAATGTCATGAACTATAATATATTACAATATCATTCGCAATAGTGAATTGAGTGTGTTATTACTTCAATAAAAATTATACCTAATATGGAAATTTCGAAAGTCAAAGAGGCTCAGAGTTAATAGTATTTAAGAAATATTCTTATGTGGTTTTGAGGAAGAATAATAATTCTATCAGGTGGAAATGCACAAAAAACACAAATTTGAAATGCCCGGGAAAAGTTATAACTAATTTGATAAAATTTTGGCTTTTATATGGACATGTGAAAACTTGGGGAATAACAAAGCTCTTACATATAAGGATAGAATTCAAAATCTATTAAGAGCGTATAACAAACTAAGATGTCGAATGTCATTGAAAATTCACTTTTTACATTCACACCTCGATTTTTTTCCGGAAATTTAGGTGCGGTAAGTAATGAACAAGGCGAAAGATTTCATCAAGACATCCAGTTAATGGAAACTCGTTACTAGGGTTTTTGGAATGAAAGTATGTTAGCGGACTAGCGATGATTTTATCGACGTTACAATAATTTGCTCGAATTTTTTCAGCAATAAGATGAAGCCCGTGCACAGTACAAGTAACATGAATAACTTAAGGATAGAATATTTTTATTGATTCCCGGATTTCACCATATAAGGTGCCGCATCACTTAAGAACAATAGGACGTCGTCGTAACGTACTTCTTCTGGCCACAATAGATGCATTGAATTATCAAATAACTTCGCAATAGTCGAATGATTAGCTTTGGTCAGTACTTCGGACCTCAATAAAAATGTGACATAAAAAATATAATTTTTATAAAAGTAACAATTAAAATAACGCATATGTTTCCGTAGTAGTCGTATCTACTGTCTACTGACTACCACGGAAAAACGGCTTTATTATTCCTCTCTCTTATATACATTTAGATACCTATAATAATAATAATATAATAATAATTTGTTTAAATGCTAATGAAAAAATTAAAAAAATGTTTATGCTAGCTTATTTTCTAGTGTGACATTAATATAACCTGAATTTGAATTGCCTGATACTAGTAGTAATATCCTACAAAAATATTTTACTAAATATTTATTTTATTTTTTTATCAACCATGATGCACAAAATAACTAACGATTGTACAATAACACGTTTCACATATTATCGTATCACAATTATTTGTAGTTTACGTAATAATGTCAAATATTTTGTCGGGGGGTATACATTTTTCCCCGGGGAGGTATTACCCTCCCTCCCCCGGTCGCCTCCCTGAAATAAATACTGATAATAAGTCAGCACAATAACACGAATATACATTCCGTTTTGTGAAAAATATTTCAGACGAAAATAAATTTACGAAAATTGTAGTATTCGAAAAATTTGAACAGAAACTTATTTAATCCGAAAATTATATTCCTCGAAAGAGTAGCGTCGTTTTAATTTTTATTAGACTAGGTCAACCACTCACTGATTTTCCGACTCAAAATTACTCCTCGACCTCTGGAGCTGGGGGTAAATTTTCAGGTATTTGAACGTTACACACTGGATTTTCATACAGAATTTGTGTTGTTTCTAGACAGAATTCTGAAGATGATTACATTATAATTAATGAAAAAAATATTAATGAAATCTTGACTGTGAATTATGAACCATGTCATAACTCACTAACTAATAAAAATCGTAATGAAAACTCTACTGAAGAAGAATGGAATAGAAAATCGGTGAAACAACGGAAACTCAATTCTTATCTATCTCCTAATCCGCATTTATCCCATATATATTTGATTCTATTTTTGATATAACTTGAATTCAATTGGCATACAAGTGGCGGGAATGGTCATACAAATCCATACAAATGACGTAGAATCGATTAGCGTTGTGAATGAACTTCATGAACTGCATGCGGTAATTGTGAATACCCGAGTTGTGATGGCGGCAAATCGGATCCTATATTAACTTGGTAGATGGGGTAGGGGAGTAACTTCTCGCCGTCGAGGCATGTTCGACCAACGGTTAGCCCAGATTACCGATGATCTTCCACGCAAAATCAACTAAGTTTAATTTTAACGGGGCTAAAGGTTTTGAACGGAGAAATATTTAGGAGTTCAAAAATCGGGCGACTGCACCCGAATTCGGTTTCATAAAGAATAGGTTAGTTCCTATTCCTTATGAGGAGTTACATGCCGAACATACACGGACTTCTCCCACGAAATATTAGCAACGGTTAGGATGAAGGAATGAGACATGAAAAACTGTACAACAAATGATGACGGAACCACCAAATATTCAACTAAATGTTTTAACTCCTTGAATGTGACTGGCTTACCACCGCAAAATTTATAACAGAAGGTTGACACGGTAGTCACCATTTTCCGATATCTGAATTAACCAAAACTATGCATTAGGACGCATATAATGATAACGTTATAGTATAGTTATATAATACATAACATATGTAATATAATATATATATATATATATATATATATATATATAATATGGTATATAATATAATAATGCGACGATACTCGGAGAAAAATTATAAATAAGAAAATTCACACTACGAGGATTCAAATGATCCCAAACAATATGTGCAATAAGTTGAAACAGATTCAATTTCCGTCTAATAATTAAGTATTTATGGTCTAAATCTAAAAAATGCATGTTTTTCACATAGTCATTTTACTTGAAAAATGTTTCGACAAACTATCCATTATAGTTGTTCTTATGCATGTTAAAAGAACAAAAAATACGAAATCACAAAGTGCTTCACTAAAAAGAGTTAACCTCAGTTCATCTCATATAGTCAAATAAATAGCTTAAATAAAGCAAATATTTTTCTAAAACGTCCATGAAATAATTGAATGCTGTACTTTTATTGAATTTTAAATAAAAAAAATACTAATATTAAATCCTAATAAACTGATAAACTTAATACATTCTTTGTATCAAATTTGTTACGTTCATAAAATTCTAAATTAATTTTAACTAAACAAAAACACAACATTCGTTGATTATAAGACGGTACAAGTTCAACGCGTAGCTACTTTGAAATTACAGAAAATACGGTATTTATTCAAGGTATCATAAGACTATTAATAATATTTCTACATAAATAGACATTTTTGATTGTGTTGTCATCTTATTCGTCACTTAATCTATTAGGGGATTCTTTAGTTCTCTGCATAGTATTGTAGCTCTATAAAATCACCAAAATAACATGATTCAATTAATATTCATATTCTTAGAAGAAAAAAATTAAAAATATAATTCAAATTACCTCAGCAGCTACACTATGTAGGAAATCTGCTGTATCCCTACCGGTTTGTTCCACCATTTTATACAAAAATCCATCCTTGATTTTCAATAAGATATGAGGATGATCAAATTCAACCATTTTACCAGCGTCCATCACAAGCACTTTGTCAGAATCCATAACGGTATTCAAACGATGGGCAATAGTTAAGACAGTACACATTCGAAATTTATTTCTAATTGTGTTCTGAATCAATGCATCAGTCCTAGAAATAAAATGCATTGTTATAATAATTATAATCAAGCTTTTAATTTAAGCTAATAATTTAAGCTTTTATTACTGTGGATCAACGTTAGCAGTAGCTTCATCCAACACAAGAATCTTATTATTTCGCACTATAGCTCTAGCCAAACACACCAGTTGTCTTTGACCAACACTGAAGTTAGATCCACCCTCAGACATTTTTGAGTTCAGTCCACAGGGTAAATCTTCAATAACATCTTTTAATTCAACCTAATTAAACAATAATCATTGATTCCTCTATTGTGTTGTGGACATACATAAATGTAGGTCCTTACGACTCATAAGACATGGATGGGACCACGTAGATCAAAAATAATAGAAATCGGGAAATGATTATTATTAATATAATATTCATATTCGTATGAAAAGAAAGGAATGATTAAGACCCGAGGGTAACACAAATATGAGCTGTCAGGCTACATTTCAAAGTATTATAATAAATGCAATTAATAAAAACGCATAACAAAATATGAGAAATGTTCGAATAATAATATTACCGAGGTCAACCATTTAAATTACAATTTAGCACCTCAGGGTAGTAACAATAATTGGAAATAATTTATTACATAGAAATGCGTGGCCAATTCCCACGAGACCTAAGTATATAAGGGGGTTGGGAATAGACCAATATTCAGATGTGGTTTACACGAGTAGTAAGCACCTTCACGCCAGATCATTTCTTAATTATTGTTTTTGTACTTAGAAAAATTCTTAAATAAACAGTTAAATTATATTTGAGTATTTTATTTGGAATATTATCAAAAAAAAACTTAACCATCGTTACGATTGAACGACGGCATGCAACAATTGTAAAATTGTAAATTTTATGTATAAATCTATTAAAAAATCATAAGTATTTACCTCATCTAAAGCATTCCAAAGAGCATGGTCTGGATATTCATCGAAAGGATCTAAATTCTTTCGCATTGTACCAGAAAACAAAACTGGTTCCTGTGGTATAATGGAAATTTTGGAACGCAATTCGTGTAGTCCTAATTCATTGATATCCAGATCATCAACATAAATAGAACCTTCATTTAGAGCCAATCTAAATAATGCTCCAATTAAAGATGATTTTCCAGCACCAGTTCTACCAACGATTCCTACCTATAATATAGTAAACATTTTTAATATCACCAATATCAAAATTAAAAAATTAGTTTTAAAATACTTTTTCCATTGATTCAATTTTAATGTTGAGATTTTTTAATACATGTGGTGTGTCTGGGCTATAACGCAAATAAAAGTTTTTAAAAATAATCTGCCCTTTTTGAGGCCATTCTTTTGGTGGTTTTTTATCTAAAAAAATTGTTAAAATTTAAAATACATTATACATAAAATAATTTATTTAAATATTACCAGGAGGAGATTCAAGAGCAGATTCTTGAGGAACATTTGTATACTCTAGTACTCTTTCAACAGACGTCATATGGTTTTCCAATTCAGCTGCTTGTCTCATTCCCCATTGGAACATACCAGTTAACCCAATTGCTTGAGTTATAGCCAAACCAACATTTCCGGCATAAGTATCTGGTGTTATATAAAACGAATTATATTAAATATTTAATAAAAATAAAATATTTTAAAATGCATTATTTTTGTTTAGCTTACTATTGCCAATATTTAGGAAACTAAATGTTACAATACTTATATAGGAAAGACATACAACATCCAACCAAAAACCAAACGCTCTACTTGAAGTTAAAAGCAAATAATACGCTGACGAATGCAAATCCTAAAATAAATAATAAATTGAAATATTATAAATGTATATATATTTTTTTCTAACTTGATGGTTGTCAAATTCTTTAGACAAAATGTGTTCTGCTTCAAATGCCCTTATTGTTGTTAAACCTTGAAGAGATGCATTCAAATGTGCAATTACAGGACTTCTTGCTATTTAAATGAAAATATATATTATAAATATATGTAAGGCAATTTAAATACTGTTCTATGCTTACTAACTCCTTCCAACCGTTTGACACTTCGAGAAGTTGACAAATAGAAAACTCTGAGTTTGTAAAATACTATTCCAATAATAAATGTTGGGATCATAAGATAAATATTAACAATTCCAATCACAATAATTATTCCCAACAATGCTAGTCCAATCTATTTAACAATGTGCACATGTTGTTTTATTTAATAAAGGTTTGATAATGTTAATATTACTTGTATACAGTCCATTAAAGCAATTGGTAACATCTCATCAATAGCACCTATGTCTCTAGAAAATCGGTTAAGAATTCGTCCTAATAAAGAAGTAAAAATATAAGAAATTAATAAAATCCTTAAAAATTATTATGATTTCAAATATATTTACCAGATGAATTTGTGTTGAAAAAATACATTGTAGCTCTCGTTAAAGCATTAAACAACTTATTATGTAAATTCATTGATGCTTTCATACTAACTGATACAAACATGGCAGATGTAATGAGTGTAGATAATATCATAGAAAATATAAAAATGGCAAAAACAATAATACATGTTTGTCTTGAAATGTTCCACCACAATATGGTACCAGATCTTTCATTCGTTGCTGTAGTACTATTCGTATATGTATATGTATTATTAACTTCGGCTGTTAACTTATAGATTTTTATATTATTTGCATAATGAAAAACGTGTTCTTCTAGATTTACCCTAAAAAAATAATTGAAATTTAAAGAATTTTGACTAAAATATAAATATCATACAATACCAAAATGTTATCCAATATTCTCCACCAGATAGCAAAACTTGAGTGAAAATAAACATAAATAGTAAAAATATTTTAATTAAAACATTTCCCGCAGCTGAGTAATATGATGAGTACACAGCAAGTGAAAAATTCCCAGACGAACGAGTTTCAGCAACTTCATTTGGTTCTTCAATACTACCGTAATGTTGAATATCAGCGGTAGACGATGCCACACTCTGAACTGAATCTTGCCGTGATAAAATTGATTTTGGATTTATACTACTAGTATTTGTATATTTAATAGTTTCGTTTTCAAAGATATCAGTTGTCTCTGCAGAAGAATTGAGCAACTTTGTGAAGTCTAAGCCAGAGGCTTGAAGTTCATCGTATGGGCCTTTAACTAAAATTTTTGCCTAATAAAAAATAAATGTATTATATATGTAATGTATAAAATTAAATATGTATTCTACAACTATAAATTATATTTTATAATTTATAATTAAAATTATTTATTGGTCACAACACACGAAAGAATTTTATAAAAAATATAAGAAGGGTTTATTTTTATATCTTCTTCTAGGGTTAATCAGCCGCTGGAACCATCCCGTCTCACAACCAATTCTCCAGCAATCTCTATTCATCGCCAAATCTTTCCAGTTTTCTCCACTTCCTAAGTTTTTTATATCCCTCTTAACTATATCTTCCCATCTCAATTTTCGTCTTCCCAAGGGCCTTTTTCCTACTGAATTCTGTTTTAACACCATTCTTAGTAAAAATTTCTGGCTTCGCATTGTATGTGCTGCCCAACGCAACCTTCTTTTCTTGATCGTCTCTGCTATGTTATTTTCATTAAAAATTTCTTGTAGCTCTATATTTTTCCTTCTTCTCTACTCTCCTGTTATGTCATATTTAATTATACCGAAGATCTTCCGTAATATTTTCTTTTCTAGTATTAAAAACTTATTTTTATATATGTTGTATTTATTGATTACAAAAATAATGATAATCGAGATGAAGAATTTAACTTATACATAACCTTCTATAAAAAACACTGATCGATTATCAAAAACTTCTTTTAAATTAATTTAAGATTCAATTATTTTCGAGAGTTCTACTATGATGACGTTACTGTAGATTACTGATCTTTAATTTAATAAAAACTGGGATAAATTAATTCTCATAAACAAAATCAAATTGAAATAATATTTGTTAGTACAAAATAAACTGTAAAATGAATAGATTATTTTGTTTTTCTATGCACCCAGGTGCTTCTTCTAGCAATCCCTCTTGTATGCCAATGTTAGTACTAATATTTAAATGTTTGTTCGTCACAACACACTAAAGTAAATTAATAAAATATTTATGACCAATACTTACATTTTCCATTAATATGATTTGATCAACTTTAGTTAGGTGTTGTAACTGATGAGTAATAAGAATACAAGTCTTTTCTTTGAGGTAACCTTAACAAATGTTTATTTAGTGTTAACAATGCAACTAATACAATTTATTACAATATTACCTTTTATGCATTTTTCAAATAAATGTTTTCCAACGTGTGTATCAACAGCAGATAGAGGATCATCCAACAAATAAATATCAGCTTGTTTATAAATAGCTCTGAATGTAGAAATGTAAAATAACTAAATATTTTTCAAACTTAAGTTCAGAATCAGATTTCTTATATAATATTTTAAAGTTTATCTATAATATACATAAAGTTTCCTCCAAAAAAATTAATTAAAATACATTATTCTTCGAAAACAATTTAACATTGAAATTAGAACTTCAAAAATTGTAATATATTTTAAATCGATTTTTACAGATCTATGACTTTCTTATTTTATGCAAATATGATAATAAGTTTTCATATTATCATTCAACAAATTAAAAGTTCTTAACAACACCTACTTAATAATCAACTGATTAAACAGGGATTAATTTATTTGTATACATGACTAAGATAAATAAGATTTATTATTCATATTTCTTATTTTACCTTGCTAAATTAATTCTGGCTTTTTGTCCACCGCTAAGAGAAACACCTCTTTCTCCCACAATTGTTCTATCGCTGTAAGGAAATTGTTCAAGATCGGTTTTTAATGCACATACATTTATAATCTAGTTTGTGACACAGTAAAAACAAAATAATATATTATAATTAATATTATGGTTCGGAACATTTAAAGAAAAAATGTTAGCTACTTTTTTATAACGTTCTTTGTCCATAGGCAAACCAAATAGAATATTTTGCTGAACTGAACCAGCAAATAACCATGGTTCTTGTGATGCGTATGATACAACACCATGCACAGAAATGTTTCCTTCGGAAAGAGGTAATTCTCTTAATATTGCTTGTATTAATGAACTCTATAATAAAATGGTAATAATAATTAATAATTCAAATAATGTTTCATAGAAGTATTTACTTTTCCAGCTCCGACAGGTCCGATAATCGCGACTAATCGACCAGGCCTGACAGTTAGATTGATATTTTCAAAAGAATTTTCAGTTTGAATATCGGTCCACTTAGCTGTAGCATTGGAAATAAATATTCCTAAATCACTCAAGTTTTCAGATTCATCTAGATTATCAAGTTTATTAAGTGACACCTCGTCATTAATAATATTTAGTTTTTTAACACCATTTGAAGCCTTGTCAGCTTTTGAACGATTGGCTACTTGATTATTCTTTTCTTCGTACAATAAAAAATTCTATAAAAAAAAAAAAAAAAAAATCTAATATATTTCTATTTGTATTTACCATTATAAACCCTCAAAATCTAATTACATGTAGATATTGATTGTATAATAGTATTTATATTTTTTTTTTCTATTTATTTCAAATCTATAAAAGTGCGTTTAATAAGGAACGATGACACTCTATCGGAAATTCAGAGGTTCTTAATATTTTTAGATAGCTCCACGAACCACGGGAGGTTGTATATACCCAAGGGCAAAACTAGGGGATGGAAGACGGGGATACATCTCCGGACGTGAAATTTTAGAAGGTGTACTTTTTTTTAATTATTATCAATTAATTTGATATTTTTAACTTTGTTAAATTATGTTTTAAGGTTAAAACTCAATAATTATGATGGTATAAAAAATAAAAAAATAAAAAATTTTTCGAGAAGAGTATTTGATTATCGGTCTATGATAGGGCGTAATTTTAACATTTCCCCCTTGCGTAAAAATTCCTGCCTCTGTATATACCCATATACTATTATAAAGCAATATTTTAGTTTTATATCATAATATATTTTTATCTGTCCTTAGCTTTTTTCTCCCATATTATCATTTTCGAAGTCATAGCAAAATAAACAATCAACGTATAATTTGTCTTGCGAATGTTAGTCACATCCAGGGCCGGATTTGACGGAGGATTTTAAGGGCAATTGCCCCGGGCTGTTTGGGGGCATCCGGATGCCGGAACACTTTAAAAGTATATTTTTATTTTGACCTTTGGTTTAAGAAATGTATGAAAAAATTATCAACATGAAAAAAAAATATAGGTTTATATTTATATTATTTAGTCTATAAAATGAGTACGTCAAGATGTTAAGTGGCAACAGTATGGGATTGGGGCATCCAGGAAATGCACAAATATATTAGTATGTAGGCTTTGATTAAATATACATGTGTTTTTTAATCAATGATGTGGTAAAAAACTATAAACCTTCGAGTCGCTACATGATTTATTTTTAAACACCGAAGTGGCAGTACCCGGAAAACAGTCTGATATTGATGAAGCGTAACATTGACTTCTACGTATCACTTTACCATATTAAAATAGCGCAATCCATGTTATTTTGATTTTTCGTCATTATCTAAATTATGCTCTTTATTGTCTGAATGGGTGTACGTACAACAAAACAGCGACACTTATGTATGTTTACAGTTCAGTTTTAGTGTGCGTAAATTTGTTAGGTGTTTTTGTACAGAATTTTAAGTCCACTGTGTGGAGGCAGATAACTTTGAATTTTTCCGCATCCGAAATACATTTTGAAGTTTTATTCCATGCTGTTCAAAAATGTATTAAACTGCGTTGTAATGTACACTTCCCTGCTTAGTTAATTTTAAATAGGTACATATTTAATTATAACTTATTCTTAAATTTGATTTAAGTATTGATTTGATATTATAAAACCAATGATTAAAGTAAATAGGGCACAACATTCTACTCGTACCTATAACAGTGGCGACTCGTGATGTTCAAAGCGAATTGTGTGTTATTTAGTATTTATAATGTAAATGTCCATTTATAAAATAAAATTTATTATAATACGTTTTTTTGTCGTCTTCATTTTTTTTCTTTTTTGTACAAATTATTTTATTTTATTTCTGGGCTATTTAGTAAATCGCTTTATGCTCGAATTATGCGTATAGACAATTAGAATATTATATTTATTTATATATTACCCTTTTATATATATATTTATATTCATGGGCGTGATCAAGAATAGGGGTTTAACTCCCCATAGACTCTATACAATTATAAATATATATATTTTTTACATACACGTATTTTTATTTTTTATGATTTTGGACACGATTTTTCTTAGTAAAATTGATCAACAACATAAGGGTGGTTTTCGATAGCAAATGTTGTATTAGTTCATTTTATATTTCTCAATTGTTTTCCCAATAATTGCGGAAAACCGATGAAAAATTGCAAAAAAACGATACCATTTACGGAATGAAATTTGAATGAAAATTGCTTCACAAATTCAGTTTTAGTAATTTTTTTAGTTTTTAATTCATCCATTTTTTTTTCAATTGTTATTCTATTCCTTGAGCACTGACTTCATAATGCTATATAAATATCAATTTTTATATTTTTTAAAATATCTATAGAATCAAAAATATTAAGGTGAGAAGAATTTAACGAACTATTTAATTTCCATGGAAAGATTCGCTATTGTTAGTCGTGCGTAATGTCGATGATAAATATTCTGACCATATTTCTGGTGGAAAGTCAGCGTTATTTTTTATATATGAATCTAATATATAGTCTACTACAGTGAGCTACTACTGTAAAATTTAGCAAATAGAAAACCGGATATATTCTTTTGATAAGAGTCGTTATTACATCTGTACAACTAACGAGTCGCTACTGACCTTTGGAAATAAAATCTTACATACACCATAGCATGTAAACAAAAAAGCTTGACAAACAATTTTTTAAAGTATACTAAATAATTTTTTTGTAATTTAATTTTAATAGTATTTGTTAATTAATGCAACTTAATTTATAGGCATTATTTTTGGGTCTTAGTAATAATTTTTAATAGGTATGATATATTTTGAATTTCAAAGTATGAAAAGAGTCCAGAGAAGTGGCGCTGTTAATCGAAAATTAAAAAGCAAAAGGAAGAAAAAATTGAAAATGATATTAAAAAAACCATATGTATATCTAATTTTTTTAAGTCAAACTTATTACTTCTAAAAGTACCATATTTATAAAAATGTATTTATTTTTTTATTACTTACTATTACTAACTATTTAGTATTTACTATATATTACATTTAATTAAACTGTGATATTATTATACGAACAGAAATTTGTGATTTGTAAAGCATGAACAATGGTATTCTAAACTTTAAATTAAAAAGTTTAGGCAGATAATTTTAATGTGCAAGTATGCAAATTTTTAATACTACATGGATAATGTTAATTTTGTACTGCTAGGGGCCTCGAATAATCGATTTGCCCAGGGCATCCGAAAGTCTAAATCCGGCCCTGGTTACACGTCTTATACATTGTTTTGTTCGGTGGAAGACATAAGTGCCAAAATAAGAGAAGAAAAAAAAAAAGTTGTATCGTATGAAAGTGCCAAAATCCTAGATAACTGTATATTAAATAACAGATATTAAATTTAGAACTATGTCGTTCAAAAACTCCAAACGCTTAATCTTAATTGACAAATGTATTATATGATTACGATAGATTGTCGCATAGATAGTGTGTAAGCAGTTTTGTGTTATAACATTTTGTTAGAACCTATTTCGTAAGCATTCGTGTAAACGTCATTCGTTATAATGGATTTATATATAAAAACTGTTACGAACAAAGGTGTTGTGTATATTTTATTTAAAGAGCAAAAATATAAATTTTTAAGAGAAATGGCCAGTGGTAATGTGTCATTGAGATGTACCAAAAAAAAAATGTTCTGCTAGAATAGAGATGGATAAACCTGTTAATGGTGAGCATTTACACGATATAGTGAACAATCATGATGGTCAGTGTCATATTTTGCGCAATAATTGTAAAAGAAAAGCAACTAAAAATATTATCAACCGACCATCGAAAATAATGCGTCACAAGTTGTGTGCTTCTGAAAATACTGAAATGGTTTCTGATGACATTGGAAATATTCGAGTTTCAATGTTCAGACAAAGACGTAAATTATTACTGACAAGGCCTCAATCATTGGAAGAAGCTATTAATCTAGTTAGTAATCGGAATATTTTAACTAATAGGAACGAAACGTTTTGTTACGTAGATATAGAAAGCAAAATCATTTTTCCGACCACTAAATCTAATATTCAATACATGTACCACAATAGTTCACTTTTAGTTGCCGATGGTATATTTTACGTGTGTCCGAAATTCTTTTATCAGCTATTTACGATACATGTTGTAGCTGTGGAAGATATTTACATTTAATTGACTGTCTACTACCAAGTAAAACATTAAATTGCTACGAATCAATGTGGAAATACATATACAAATTGAGTGAAAAATATAATTTAGAATTTTCTCCAAAAATACTCGTAGTTGATTTTGAAAAAGCAGCACACGATGGATTTTTAGCAGTTTTTCCAAATTCAAAAATAAAATGTTGTAAATTTCATTCAGGGCAATCGTGGTTTAGGAAAATTCAAAGCTTGGATCTTCGAAATGAATACATAAAGAACTCTGCAATAGGGATTTGATTGAAGTATTTTTTGGTTTGGATTTTCTTCTGTGCACCGAAGTATCTGATGCTTTTGCAGATTTAATTTCAATCACACCTGAGATCAAACTATTTCTAAATTTAGTGATTACATTTTAGAAACATACATTGATTTTAGTATATTTCCATCTGAAATTTGGGCTGAAATTCCGGATAATGAGAACTACAAATGCAGCTGAATCATTTCATCGACATTTAAAAGACCAATTTTATGTGGCTCATTTTTCCGTTCATATAGTAATTGAAGTATTATTAAAATTACAAAGTGAAACATATTTATTTATGAACTCTTCTTTTAACAATAAATTAAGGATATCTCATGAAGAAATAATGGTACTATGAAAGAAATATCAGGATGGTGAAATAAATCGTCTAGAATATGTGAAAAAAGTGGGATTAAAAAATCAACCAATTTATTACATTTATTAAATATTGATGTGCATGTATATTATAATTTACTATCGAAATGTTTTTATAAAATAGCAACGGATTTATTAACTTTATATTGATTTGCATGTATATTATAATTTATTATCGACATTTTTTTTAAATTTTGTTTTTAATTTTTAAATAACTACCTACTTATATACCTACTTATATATTTTGGCGCAAATGCTATGTTACTTTTGCACCTTTGGCGTTTTTGTCTTATGTTGGGTATAACAGGTAACAATATTAGATTGACGCTTATGTCCTACAGATTTTGGCACAAATGATAGGTCATTTTTGTACTTTTGGCGCTTATGTCATACAGCCGTTTTGTTATAACCGTTTCGTATTTGCTTGCATTCTACGATTAAATTATTCAAATATTTTTGTTAATATTTTAAGATATTTTCTTCACATTCCGATATACATTCACAGACAAGAAATTTCATTTTCAATTTATACAAATATTTTAAAAAATGATCAGTGGGTTCGTTTAATTTGGAAGTTGCATCCTTTTTTATACAGACACTAACAAAAACTGCGGAAGCCTGTGGTGTCAGTGAAAGAACCGTGATACGTATTCCAGTTGAAGAAAACAAACAAAAAGAAAAAGAAACACAGACCGTTTGTTCATCGTTCACTTTCAGCAAAAGGTTTATTAGAGATTATAATATGTTAATCAAGTTAATGACTTTGATGCAAATATTGTAAGAAAATCCATTCATATTTTTTATGAACAAGGTGACCCTACGCCATTAATATTTTCAACTAAAAATCATCTAAGAACTACGTACAAAGGTTTTAGAACTTCCACTTGACATAAACAGATAAATCTCATTTTCAGGTACAAAAAATACAATGATGATCGTCGATTTCTAATGAAGTATTAAGATGTTGTTATTATTCAAGTGACATTTTTACATACATTTGTTAACCTTCGTAAAAGTACGATCCTTTGCTGGTTCTCTATTTAGACGAGATATAAGTCAACCAATACTACATAAGAGGGAACATTTAGCAAAATTAACAAAATACTGAAGGATTTAAATTTCCCACGGGAAAGGAAAGTTGAATAAATATTTGTCATGGGAATCTGATTCATTTGGATTTATGCCTGGATCGAAGTTAATTTTTAGATGTTAAACTGACACTTGTGAATATTATCACACTTGAGTTAATTATTTTATTTTCAGAGAATGGTTTATACAAATGTTAAAACATTTAGAAAAACCATGTGATGATAATTTTCATATTATTTCATTCTAATAGACAATTATCCAAAGGCAAATGAAAGACAAGAACGTTCAAAAATGGCTTTCTTATGAAGAAGTTGACTATTCACCACTCAAAACATCGATCAAATTACACGAAAGAGTCAAACTTTTGATACCTTGAATAAAAATATATGAGCTTGATCAAATTGCAATGGAAAGGGGACTCTATTTTTTGCATTTCCCACTTTATAATTTGTTCACGTATTGTTATTATTATTATTTTTAATGTAATATTTATTAATTAAAATTGTTAAATACTATTTAATACTATTCTTGAGGCTTCATGAACTGCATATAATGTACATCTTTGTCAGTAATTTATTTTAAATCTGAATTTTTTGAAACAAATTTATTCATTAAGTGTACGAGTATCAAGAAGATAAGAAAAGATTATACAATTTTTATTTTTAATTTTATATTTATATTCCATTTAAATTTTTGATAGATTCTAATAGAATGTTGTGTAATATGCCCAATAAAATAGAAATATGCATAAATATATAAAAACATGCCAAACATGCAAAATAAGATTTCACGTATTTAACCATGGTACCTTGAAATGGATTTCTATGTCATCTAGCATTAAATACAATTTTGCAAGATTGATATGCAAATGCATGAACTTACGAGCCCTGATAATGACCCTAAGTTAGAATGCTCATCGTACGCATTACCATCAAGTGCCACTTTCCGTATATAAGTTTATTAATTTACAATATGAGAGATAATTTATAAGTTCTTGCTAACTCGTGATCTAAATTTAATATATATTTATAAATGTATATATGTAATTATATATGGATGTATGTATTTTACCTGCAGTCTTTTAATGGAGACAAACAATTCTGATATTTGACCAATACCTTGTGGGAAATATAATGTCATTGTTAATCGCAGTATATTGTAGTATGAAGTTATAACAAAAACCTTAAAGAATTTTACAAGTATTTGAGTATGTCATTCAAAAAAAAAATTCAAAAAATATCAAACTAATGTTTACTTTTTGAGCAGTGATTAAGTTTCCAAGTAAATTATATAATATAATACAAGAAAACAGTGCGATTCTAGTATGAAATGTCATGAACGATAACAAAACACTTCTGATATAAAAGGCGCCTCTAATTTGTTGAATTTCCTTTCTAAAAGTAAATAATATAAAATAAACTATTATATAATTTATTGAATTAACAAAATTGGATTTGGTTTTTAATTTGTTAATAGTTCGGTTGCGACTGTTAATAATGCAATATCGTGCTCCGTTGCTATTCTCTTGCTCCGTACCTTTAATTGTATTTTTACCTGTTTTTTTTCGAACAAAAACACACTATCTCAAAAAAGTACCAACTTTCCAACCAGCCAAACTGCAAATTTCTCAAACAAAAAGGAGCTCTGTTATTCTGTATCTGGTATCAAAACTAATTAAATAATTAACTAATTAAATTCGTCACTGATAAATCAGTATTTAGCCGGCCGGCCGTCACGTAATCGCCGTTATCTCACGATAACAAACCACTAACGACACCATGCTGGATAAAATTAAAACCGTCACCCCACTAATAATCCAAAAGTCGCGTATACAAAGTATGCCAAATCAATCACCTAATTTGCCTACACAATCAATTTAAAATAATGGTTTCATCCAAGGTTTATAGATAACATTATCTATAAACCTTGGATTTCATCACCCCCACTGGAGCAAAACATTTATAATCACCATATCAATCACCAAATGTAGTTAACCACTATCAAAAACAACAAAAATATAATTCAAAAAACCGATTTTTACTGTTTTCAAACCAAATCGAGCAGTGCATTTTTTCACTAGTTAACTAAGCGACACAAATGTCGCCCAGTGATTATACTCTGTCGATAATATTTTGAAAGATTGGGCGAAATAATGCGAAACAAACGTATACTATAATCGTACTACATTGACTATTTTTGAGAAAAACATTTTTTGTCACACAGCGAAAATTCCTTATAAAATGCACTGAAATCGAGGATCTGTTAATATTGATAACAATTCAAATGAGATGGAGCTAGAACCCGAACAAAAGGCACCTACTCCCACTATAGCAACATCATCTCCCCTTCCAATTTTCATTTGTACAGTAAATGACTTTAATGCATTCTGTAATACAATCAAAGAAGTAACAAAGGGTGAACAGTTCTCATGTAAAAGTTCAATAAATGGTGTAAAACTATCTACTCAATTACCAGATTCGTATCGGACTGTTATTAAATACCTACAATGCAACAAAGCAGACTTTCATGCTTACCAATCAAAAGAAGATAGAGCATATCTCGTAGTTATCCGTAATTCACATCATACTACCCAAATTGAAGAAATTAAAAAAGAACTACTCTCACTTGGTCACACTCCAAGAAGAATAATAAACATTATCCAACACAGTACCAAAATTTTCCAAGCCTTTCCCCCTCATTTTATCGATCTGGAACCCGCCCTTAATAATAAAACAATTTTTGATATTAAATCCTTGTTCTACACTAAAATCAAAGTCTAAGAACCTCGAGTAAACAAATTAAATATCAAATGTCTTCGTTGCCAAGGTTTTGGTCATACAAGATTCTACTGCAATCACCAACCTAAATGTGTGAGTTGTGCTGAAAAACACCTGTCCAACATCAATCAGAAACCCTCCAGCTTTTCATCCAAATGCGCCCTGTGTGCTGGCCAGTGGCGTAACTGGAAAAAAATCTTGAGGGGAGGGGCTATATTATATATTTATTATTACTAAAACCCTAACACCCCTCCCCCTCATCAGTTAAAACATATTTTTATTGTATGTATTTTATACATTATATCAAATTGTTTGATTTTACATAAGTGTTTTAACTCATTTTGTGGTTTAGATTAACATAAATTGTAGGTAGCAGATACTAGGTACCAATAATGTTAAATAATACCCATAAGAGTTTATTAATAAAAGGTGCTATTTGTACTGTTGGATTATCTGGGGGGACAAAATTATACATTTATCTCTCAAAAAATTATCATGGGGGCATTTGCCCTCCCCTTACCCCCTCACAATTACGCCACTGGTGTTGGCGACCACCCCGCAAACTACAGAGGTTGTCCAACTCATAAGGAATTCTAAGCTTCACTCCAATCAAGAAAATCATCTAGATAAGATCACCCAGTTCCCCAACATAATAATGTAAGCCCATCACCTATTGTTTACACTATTTCAAATTAACTAACTAACTAATTACCTAACTCCTCACATTAAATCTTATGTACAAGCAACCACTGAAAATCTAAAAAATCACTCTAATATACAGTGTCCAACAGAACTCGACTTTCCTCCATCAAAATTCTCCTCCTTTCTTGATGACCTCAACAATTTAATAAATCCCCCTCATTTCTCTTCCAATCACCCTCATAAATAGTCTCCTCATTTCTAAAAATGATAAATAATCAAACTATCTTTCTTCCTATTCAAATTTTTCTTTGGGATGAAAATGGTCTAACTAGACAAAAAAATTAAAGCCTTAATCATCAATAAACAAATAGACATCATTTTGATTAGTGAAACCCACTTAACACCACTCACTTCATTCCAAATTCCAGGTAAAACAATGCATCACTGTGATCATCAAGATCGTACAGCCTATGCTGGATCTGCAATCTTAATAAAACATAACATAAATCATACTGCTCTCCCACCATTCCAAACATCTTTCCTTCAAGTTACAAACATTTCTTTATTGTTAAATCACATTCCTACTACAATTTCTGCAGTATACTATCCTCCAGGTCAGACTAATAAAATAACTACACATGACATTAATCTCTACTTTCAAACAATTGGAAATACGTTTTTATCAGGAGACTTCATCTCAAAACACCAAAACTGGGGCTCTAGAATAACTAACACTAGAGGTCGCTCTCTGTTCAACTCTCTTTTAAGCAACAACCTTAAACATTTATCCCCACGTGGACCAATCTACTAGCCTGCCCACTCCAATAGAATCCCTGACCTTGATTTCTTCATTTATACAAATCTACTACATTAAAGCAGGTGCCCCTTAGGTTAGTATACTAGCTCCCACTCTACAATTTACTTCCTATATACCACATTCTGACCACACCACTCTTGCAACGTTTGCCGATGATACAGGTATAATATCAATAAATTTCGACCTAACCATAGTCTCCTTTGCTCTCCAAACACATCTTACTGAACTTCAAAACTCGTTTAATCTGAGGAGAATTAAAATAAATTTGATTAAATCAACGCATATTACTTTTTCCCTACAACCAGGCCTTGCCCTCCCCCCCAATGACCCTCAATAATGACATGATTTCCCAAACGAAAGTTACCCAGTATTTGGAGTCAACCACGATAACAAACTCCCTTGAGCCAATCACATAAAAACAAAGAGAAAATTCCTCAATTCCAAACTTCACAAAATTAGACATTTCCTCAAATCAACTCTTCCACTCAATACTAAACTTTTAATCTATAAACAAATTATCTGCCCTACTATGACCTACGGAATACAGTTTTGGGGAACATCTAAAAAAATCTAACATTCAAATATTTCAATCCTTTTAATCAATTTGCCTTCGCCTCATTACTAATGAGCCCCGGGTACGACAGTAATCTCACCCTTCACTCGGACCTCAATATTCAAAACATCCATACTCTAGCATCACATCACTATAAGCTATTCCATTAAAACACACTCAACCATTCCAATCCACTTATATCCAATCTCTCCTCCCTTTAAATCCCTGTAAGCCCTCCACGCCGTCTAAAGCGCGATTGGCCTAGAGATCTCCTAAACTTATAAAAAAAAAAAAAAAATATAAACAAAAAAGTTTAGAATTGTGAAGTAGTGTTGTTAACACCCCCTTCAACCATCTATAGTCCGCGACAGGAAAAGTGGCCCCTGCCCGCCACGAACCTAGCGGCTGCTTCGCTTTAATGGTGCGTAACGTAACTAAACTTATTGCCACGTTTTTTTGAATATATAATTAATTTACTGAAAATACTTACAATATTTTATAAACCAATAATTTGTGTATTCAAACCAAACAAAAAACATTAAAAAATTAAAACAAATAATACAAATATTTTATTCTCTGTTTCCTTCGTCATCATCTTGATCGTCGTCACTCCAGTCACTGTCATCCGGAAGTATGGTTAGAATTATTGGTTCGATCATGGTGTCTCGCATAATTTCTTTTTTGTTGTCTTCAATTTGAATTTCTTCTGCATGACGGACGCATTTCTTCCAATCATCTACTGTCACTGCATCCAATGCCTCATGTGTTAGACGTTCAATGTCAACCATTTTAAATGTGTTGTTTTTTTCGCCACTTCACCCTTCATCTGAGCCCAAATTAACTCTATCGGATTATATTTGCAATGTTAAGGTGGTAGACGGATTACCTCATGACCCTTTTCCAACGCAATTTTATCCAGCTCGTATTTTTTTTTCTCGTGGCATTAGGTACTTTACTTTTTGACGAAGTTCCGGTAATGTTTCTAATGGAAAAAATTCAACGTTTTTACCCATTAACCATTGTTGGACGTCGGCTTTTCTCCAATTACTTTTTGGGTATGATTCTTTGAGAGTAGAATGATATGGTGCATTATCTATTACAATAACGGATGGCTCTTCAAGGTTATTCAGCAATTGAATAAACCACTGCTTGAACACTTCACCATTCATTTGGTCGTGGTAATCGATTGTATTTCCGCTGTTATTACGAAACACCAATTTCGACCCTTCAATGAACCCGTAGCGAGCACATCCTGCGTGACATACAATAAGCCGACCTCCTTTACCAGTTGGTACCTTTAGACCCATCGAATTGTGTTCATTTTGCCAAATAAGCGTGCGTGAATAATTTTGGTTTACCCACGTTTCGTGGGGGTAAACAACAGGTCGATCGTCTTTTTTTTCTCGCAGCATACTCATCTGCCTTAAAAATTTACACTGAAGCGCGACGATATCGTTCCTCTCCATTAAAAACAAAAGACCATCGTTGCATTTTTTGTAGCTATATTTTAAATTTTTAAGGAGCCTTTGCATCGATCGAACGCACCCGGTATAATTTGTTTTTTTTTTACAGCATTGAGTATTAATTGAGCAGTTGGGTACTCACCCCGGTCATAAAACTCGTAGATAGTCCTTCTCACAATATCGGAATCAAAATCATCAAGCTCTGAAACCGTTTTTGCGCGTTTGTATCCTTTACGCGGAGAAATAAACGTAGGACTCGCATCTGGTGTTTCTGGATCATCACGGAGGAGAAAAAGTAGCGTAAAAAATTGTTGTTGCTATAGCAGTAATATTAAATGTTGATGTCAGGGGTCGTTTTTACATATTACTGCTATAGCAGTATTATAAAAACCGTCCAAAAAGTGTCATTACTGTGATAGCAGTGATATTTTCAATGGTCTCTTATGAGAGAGGAAGTTTTACTGACCCCGGACATCTCATCGGGCAATTTAAATATAATACTGCCATAGTAGAATTTTTAAATTGAAAATGTGATGTCGGAAGTCAGTACTGCTATAGCAGTACTAAAAATATTACTTCTATAGCATTACTTCTAATATATACACACTATAAATAATTTTTTTACACTGGCTATGAGTATCTTTATCGACAAACGACATTTTTTAATAATTTATACAGTAACGTTAATTGGTTACGGAGGAGAAAAAGTAGCATAAAAAATTGTTGTTTACGAACGGACAGTGAAAAGACAAAACGATAAAACACGAGGGTCATAGGGTTTGTACTCTGTATGTATTATGTGCATCACTGTATCCCTACCACAGTACGTTTTGCAGCTGTCTTCCAGATACTCCAGTAAAAACTGGATTTTTAGTCTATATAGTCTGGACAGCTGTAATACGTAGATAGCCGGTAAGGTGCCCCAAAAAAACAAATCAACTATGTTTCTTAATGTGAATTATACAAGTGGCGCAGCCACGCAGTATGCGGCATATGTTGAGAACCAATAGCTCACGGGTGGAGAAGCAGCAACGGGTCGCAGTACACAGGGGCCACTTTTCCTGTCGTGGACTATAGTCTTGTAATCAATCATCAATATTACTTATTGAATAAATTATTACAGATTATATGTTATATATTTTTTTTAAAAAAAAAAAATTTGTTAATATTTACATTATTGATACTTAAATAAACTTATAAATAATAAAATATACATTAATTAATTATTACCATGAAATGAAAGTATCTTTGTGAATAGCGTGAAAATATATATAAAAATATAGGTACGTACTTTCTTGCATATTGTACAAGGGATTGAAATGGTTTTTCCCAAGTATACATTTTAATTACTTGCATGCCTGAAATTATTTCATTCATCAAACCTACTCTTTCGTCTGTTCTGATGGCAGTCTTCAGTCGAAGTTCTGAAGTCTTTTTTCCCAACCAAACTAAACATTTTTTAATTTTTTTCTTATAAATATCAAATTGTACTGCTCTTTATATATTCAGTGTTCTATATTTAATTTTACAAACCTTGAAATGGAATAAATATAATTATTGCAGCAACACCAATTATTGACGATACCCCTACTTCTTGCCACAAAAAATATGTGAACACAATTGTTTGTATGGGACTAATCCATAGGTAATGTATTCGCATTATTGCTGTGTCAAATCGATTTACATCGTTGGACAACAAATTTACTATATGACCCACTGTGATTTTACTGAGAGCAGATTTACTTAGTCGTAATGCCTGTATATGTAAAAAAAACTTTTATAAGTACCATTATTTACACTTTTTGTATTAAGAATTTAATGTACAAACATTTCAATATAATTTCAAAATACAGTCGAGTCGCGATAACTCGAAAAACTTGACTACTCGAATTGTGTTTTATTCCTCTAAAATATTATTCCCCTATAAATCAATTAGATATCTTGAATAATACATATCTCGAAGTTAATTTTATCCCCCTTCAACTTCGAGTTATCGCGAATCGACTGTAACATTTTTTTTGTTAAATTTAATAAAATAATTGAAGCAATTTGAATAAATAATTGATAATGTGTCACAAGTTATGCGTAAAAAAATGCACACTATTTACCGTTAAAATTATAATAAAGATCCTAATTTAAATTTGTTATATGATTCTTTCTGTAGCTACAAAAGAGAATCAAAGAAGAAAAATAGAAACGTTACAAAATTAAGTTGTTACGAAATCTAGTATTTCAATGAAATGGTACAATTATTTCAAGTTAAAAGACTAATATAGCAGTTACTATTAAATTTAATAAACTTACTTTATCTTAGATTAGATTCACTTAAAGAATTAAAAAATATCTATAACAAGCCCAGTTTTGCAATTTTTTTTTTTTTTTTTATTTCCAATATGTTCAAAAGTTGAATAAAAATAATAACTCTTTAGAATTCAGAGTACAGGCGTATTATAAAAGCAGTATATAACAAAACAACTGAAGCTATAATAATGTAAAGGACCGTAAAGGTACCTTATTATAAATTAGAAAACATGTAGATACACGCATCTTCATGCCCATATGCGCCGTAAGCATATCGTAGGCAATGAAACCCATAGTTTTCAATACAATGGCTATGACCAAGCAAAATCCATAAAATATCCCAAGATATTGAGAAGACTGATCTTGTGGCATATCTGATTCAAATCGTACGATTATACAACCCAGAAATATTGACTGGCAAACACTGTATCAATCATATTAAACACAAAAAAAATGTTTCAAGTTTATTCATTAATATATTAACATCTACAATTTAAAATAAAATGTTTTTATGGTTATATTTTACTTGTATTTACTATCTCCAACTAAAGTATTAAAATATTACCTCAACCATTTTTAAATGGTGGTAAGTATTAAATAAAGTGAGAAAAGAGCTATATCATTTTAAATATTATTAATGATAAAATAATACAAGGGATTTAACAATCGGAAACTTTTAATAGCATAATATTTTATATAATTAAGCATTTTAACTCAACTTTAATACTTTTTTATATATGTTAATTATATAAAAAAAGGATTTCATATGATTACAAAATTAATAATTAATTAATTAATGAAAAATGAGCATACTTACACGATAATCATCTTTTATGATATAAATCATAGTTTATTTTACTTTAAAAGGTATTGGAAGTAGGTAATGATTCATAATATTTATCTGGAAGATAGGAAATTAAATTATTTCTATTCCTTGCGTATCAATGAATCGATGAATCTAGTTGTGTGATAAGAATTTTAAAAACAGATCTTAAATTACTGTAGAGTTTACGTAAGTTGAATTTTTCTCTTATTAATTTTCAAATTATCTTTAAGTTAATTAATCAAAACAATTATTGATGAATTTATTATAAAGCATTTTGTAAATATTGAAACAAAAAAAAGGGAAAAATGATTAATTAATTTTATTTCAAGAAAGCAAATTCTAATTAGTGTTCATAATATTTTCATAATCAAACACTACACAGTAGTGTTCTGCATGGTCCGGTCTAGTACGGTCCTAACATACGAAAATTATTAAATCGTCGGTTTGGTCCGGTTCAACATTTTTAGGAGTAGTTCGGTCCATAGGCGCACATTGTGTGTGAATTTAGGGGGTGCTGGACAGGGCCGGATTTAGAATTTGTAGGCCCCTAAGCTCAATTGTTGTGTGGGCCCTACCAGAAAATTTTTAGAAAATAGAAAGGGCATACACACAAATAAATAAACTAAGCGATCTTTAAAACATTTTCAAATAATTTTCTACCCAAAATCGAGGGTAGTGCAACTTTCTAACTTCTAGTTTTTTGACTGAAAATAATAAAATTTAAAATATAGTATATTAAAGTGTGGATTCAATCACAAAATAGTAGTTAAAAAGGTATTCAACGCTCTTTATTAATATTACAACGGCAGTAACTAGTAATTAAATTCACAACATAATATTTATAATACAGCTTAATAAATAATACAAATTTAATTTAAAGGTTTAAACTTTAATCAGTTTACGTCTTAACTTTGTATTAATGAAATCACTTATAATATCTTCATAATTTATTTGTCTTAAAATGTCACTCTCAATGCTAAGTAGAGCTAACATGTTGAGCCTTTCTTCTGTCGTGAATGTTCGAAGACGGTTTTTGATCAACTTTAATTTTGAAAAAGATCTTTCTCCGCTGCTATTGGTGACCATAAGTGACAGGTACATTCTTAAAGCTACCTCAATATTAGGAAAACAATCTTTTAAATTTTTTTCGATTAGAAACTGGTACATCCATCTTTCCCGAGATATAACTTTATCATTTTTTCCATCATCATCTTTTAGAAACTCTTGGTAAAAAGCCTTGGATTGAATCAGTTCATTTCCAAATTGATCGTCCAAATCATTATCATATCATTTTACTAAATTTTGAGCTGATATAATTATCTTTTTATCATCAAGTATATCTAACTTATAAAGAAATCTAAAACGGTTATCAACTAGTTCATACTTGTGTATTCGTGCTGGAATAATTTATAGTACACAGGTCCGTGAGGGCCAAAGCCCCTCACACCCCCTAAAGCCATAATCAACTGCATCGCCATAGTTTTTTAATTTCTATTAATTATACGTTATAATAATATTTAATTATTAATAATATATTAAACAAGATTTAATTTCCTGTTGGATGATATACATTTTTCCAATATAATTTCCCCATCTATTTTATTGGTAAGATCCCTCTCAATGCTAAACGTAGATAGCTTAGTAAATCTTTCTTGGCTCATATTAGTGTGGAACCAATTTTTCAATCTACGCATAGCTGAAAAGGAGCGTTCACACGTTGAAGAAAAATTTGGAATTGTCATTACCACTTGAACTAGTTTATAAACATTTGGAAACAAACTTTTATTACATTATTTTTCAAATATTCAAATTCAAAGTTGGCTGGTAAACTATTATTTAACACCAGCATTTCTGCTGATAAACTAACTGTCGATATTTTCAAAATAACCTAATATATCAAAAATATGAACTAGTATATAAAATGTAAATAGTAAATATTTATATATAATATTTGTCATTCCACATACAATTCAGCGTAACCCACTGGTTAAATATTACTAAAAACCAAGTAATAATCAAAGTTATAAATAAAACATAATTTCGTAAACCGTAGATAATATAAGAATATAAAGTAAGATAAGATAATATGATTTTCTATAATATTATGATTCCTGTTTATAGTTTAATAGTTAGACAAAAACTGAAACAGTAAAACGTGCAATTATACAATACTGTTTTAATCGTGAATTCGTCAACTATATTATTATCTATTTATAGTGGAAAAAAAATGCCCAATCCAAAAACCACAATAATTTAAAAATTATTGATGAAATACTGAAATAAATATTCTAGGAAACTGGGGGTGCTAAGCACCCCCGAGCACCCCCCTATGTGCGCCTATGGTTCAGTCCAATCCTCAAATCAAATGCATTATTTTCAGTCCGGTCCGGTTTCAAAAAAAAGAAATGAAAATCAGTCCAGTCCGGTCCCAATCATAGTACTTAAAATCTAAATACAGATATTACTATGTAAACAAATAAAAGGAAAAAAAACCTAATTTAGGTACACATTTATTTATAAAATCGGGTAGTTCGGTCCAGTGTATTACTAAACGCATTATATGGTTCGGTCTTGGTTAATACAGACTAAGACTTACGGATCAGTTTATAAACGGACCAAAATGTTTTAAGATCGAACCGACAGTTTGGTCTACGGTTTACTTTATTAAATGTTATTTAATTACTAGTCCGGTCCGGTCTAAAAATAATATGAAGCCGTCGGTTCGGTCCAATTTTGGTCTTTGATTAACTTTTAAGTGTGGTCCGGTCCAACTTCGGTCCCCTGGTAAAATTTGTAGTCCGGTCTGGTCCTTAAAATAACAGACCATGCAGACCACTACTACATAGGAAATTTTAAATATTTCAATTTCTACTTCCTGTATATGATAAAATTATTTCCAATCACAATTAAGTGAATTTAGTTCTTATGAAGTGTTGAAACTTCAGAAAGATGAGTTAAGTATTGTTTGAGATTACATTACAAATAACTAAGATAATAACTATATTATTATATTCTTATCACGTTCATTTTAAAAATGTCGTAAAAATTATAAAATTGATAAGTAATTCAAATGTTCTCTACAGTGAATAAAGTTGCATAACATTTATTTTTACATTAATGCAATGATAAATCTCGTTACTACTCATCATTCATGTAATAAGAACATTTTTTTTAAAATTTCAATTTATAAACAATTCTACAAATATTATATAACTGAGGAGTACTCATATAATTATCACTGTAAGTTGGAATCTTTTAAATATATAAATGTTCAATATTCTTAATAGTATTTAATTATATCATAATCATGAGAATATATTTAAAAAAATTTTAAGAGAAAATATTTATTTTTTGGATCTTTCTTAGTAAAAAAATTCATATAAAATTATAAACTGAGAATTTTAGTGTCTTCTAACAATAAAAAGTTAGGTATAACAGAGATACAGACATTTAATAATGTAGATAAAAACTGTCATAACGTTATCTGTAAAATTTACTCAAGAGAATTAATGGTAAAAATATTCTATGTTAAACTTACGTGTATTGTATCTATAAAATAAATATAAAAATACTCTTATAAAATGTCGAAATAATTAAAAAAACTTGCATTAAATACATTTAATATTTATATAAATTTATATGACACGTGTTACAATGCAAATCAAACATTCCTAGATAATTTAAAATTCTGTCACGTTAACAAATTTAAGGTCAACGAAAACAAACATACCAGAAATATATTTAGATAATATATTTTAAATTTTTTATAAAATCAGTAACGAATTATCATTGACATCATACCATTGTTTTTTGAGACTTATTATTTATGTCATAATTATTATTTTATAATTTAGTATCAATTTATTTTTTATTATATTTAAACATGGACCTTCATGGCGTTCCATCAAGAATTGATCGATCTTGAATTCCCATCAAAAGTATAAAAACAAATATCAGATTCTGAGCTACATGATATTTTGGAAAACGATAAATGGATAATTATTAGATTTTAAAATATATTTATCTATTTATTCTGTTCTGAAGATTTTTTATTTATATTATTTTATTGTTTTATTTATAAGATTTACGAAATAATTTTTGTTTATTTTATAAAAATATTACACATGATGATAGGGAATCATAAAAAAAGTATTATTTTATAAAATAACAAATATAAATTAAAATATTTAATAACATATTTTATATATATAAATTTTACAAATTAAAAAAAATATCCTTAAACGAGAAACTAAATATTAGAACATACGACCAGTGGCGTATACAAGGGGGGATGTGGGGGCCAGATACCCATACAAGACCTTTTTTTAAATGTTATAAAATAATGTTCTTAATATGAGGGCGTTAGAATCGTAAAAAAAATTATGATAAAATAAAAATAATGATTTGTTTGCAAATGATCCCTCCCCATACAAAAGTTGTATATACGACACAACATACGACTATCCGTAATTGGCACCGTCTATTGCTTTCCTTTATATGGGTAGTGGCCACCGCCAATCATGGATTTTCACGCGCGATAGACACAACTAGGGGGCACAATAAGGTTTTTAGCACCCCTGAATTCAAATGTAGCACTCCTGTTTTTATTTATCAGATCTATATTATCTGTAGTAATTACAGTTAAATACCATTTAATTTTATTTTCAGCAATTTCAGCACCCCCAATATTTGGGCTCTAGTTGCGCCCATGGTCATGTGTATGTTATCAATAGTTGTGTGTCGTGTGGCAATAGATAAGGAATATTTGTACAGAGGTAAACGTGTTAAATATTCAAGTGAATTTTAATTTTTTATTATAAATATACTATGGTAAAACATCAATTTAAGAAATTAATTTTTCCTAACTCGGAGAGATTTAATATTATTAATGCAATATGGATTAAAAAACTTTCATATTTTTTAAAATAAAGACGTTTTGATGACATTAATTTAGAAATTTTTTATACAATTCTTAAAAAACTTAACGATCAGACTATAGTATAACATTTTTTATATATTGCATATATTTCACTTATTTAAATATGATCTATAAATTCTTACCATAATAAAGTTTCGATAATCAAGAGTAAAAATCCGTACAAAATCCACTTAGGTCCAAACATTTGAAGTAAAGCGCTTAACAAACTAGGATGTCTATTTGACTTTTTGGCTTTAGCCAACTCTATTCTCCATTTCCTTAAATGAGACAGATTCAACTTTTAATAAAACAAATTCAGAATAATATGTTTTTTATGAATTTACTTTTCTAGTTCATTCCCTAATGATGACGACAAATGATCATTAAGAGTTGAATACAAATCATTTATCTCTAAATCTCTTTTATTTCCTATTTGAAAGAGTTTCAAAATCCATCTGAATAAGATGAAACAAAAACAAAATTAATATTTTTTATAAAAATTTGTTTTTATCAAATTATTATTTGCATTTTGACTGTAAACTAGAATAGGATAATTGTTACACTTTAAGCAGAGCGAGAGAGCTTATGGATTTACCATGTGTATGTTTTTTATTACAGTATGCATTTGAAGGATTTCTCAAGCTAACAAAGGTTTTTTTCTGATAGGAAATGTTTCCAGTCAGTGCAATTTGGGAGTCTAAATTAACTCTAATAAATCACAAAAATTTGTATCATTTTATAAATAAAAATGTATATAACTTTGAATTTTAATTCTTAGGGCTTCAAATTGAACAGTATTATTCATACATTTTTTTTTAATAAAAAAAATAAAAGTTAACAGAACGCCTTAAAATATTTCAAAATCATTAAAAAATAAAATGTTATTTAACCGAAATTCGATTAAACGATTAGCTATTTTGTTTTCGAAAAATGTTAACCGTATGTTAATATAAACAAAACACCCTTATTAACGTTATATAAATATGTAGGGTGTTGAAATGGTTGAGGAAACTAGTATACGTGTACTCTCAAGAGTGGCCAAATGAAGAATATTTTAAAAAAATTTTTTATCTTCAAAACCTGGGCTTTATCTAATTATCTTTAGAACATTATTTCGAGTCCAAAAATTAATACTTGTATATGGGATTTTTTATAAATTTTTCATGTAAATCGATATGTGACATCGATTTTGGGCTTGTCACCCATATTCACGCCCGAGTCGCAAGGATCAGAAAAATTGTTGTGACATATCGATTGATATGAGAACTCTGCAAGATAAACGAAGGTGAAATTTATTTGTTATTATTTCACAAAACACACAATTTTTTATCAAGAAAAAAATCATTTACATATAGGACCATTATTAATCTGGTCAAAATTATCTTCAAATGGTAAATAAATGAAAACTTATCACGGTATAACAAATACATTCCTCGCTCCACTTAGCACACAAAATGTCTAATAAAAAGCTTGATATTTTTATGAATAAAATAATATTCAATTTGAACAAATTTAATTATTGATTTAAATATCAACTTTACAGGTTAGGCCTATCTATTAATTACTACAAAACATACATGTACATGTATATTTATTTTATACTCTTTTTAATTAATCATACACTGTCATAACTTACCCAAAGGTGAGGATTTCGAAAAAATTAGCATTAGCCCTAGGATGTGGAGGCCGCTCTACTTTAATACCTGCATCCATATTTATCCTAAAATAAAACCAATTATTAAATATAACATTTTTCAAGTTTTTTCTTGCTATATAAATATCCAGATGGACATGATCAGTTAAATCGGATATAATTTGATATAATTGTTACATACAACAAATACATTTCTAAACCCATTAAAAGTTTTTAAAAAAACGTTTCAACGCCTAATTAATAATAATAGAAAATAATAAATTAGATAATCATTTTTTATTTGAATTAATGAATTGATACATTTTCAACCATTAAATAATTTAATAAAAAAATCAGAAAATATGTTGCATTTTCTTATGATAAAAAAAATGTATTTAACAACTCTTCCATTTCTATGAATAGATTAATAACTTAATTATCCAATACGTGTAAAATGTATTAGTTTTTTTTATTTTTCAGATATAAATTAGGTACCTTGAATTTTTCATTATTTATATTTCTAAATTTAAAATCTACACTTACACCCTTGTTTATTGCTAATAAAAAAAGAGTAATTTTGCTACTGATAGAAAATACTGATTCTTAAGTGGGTTGAAATGGTACTAAATTGTTGGAATTTAAATACCGTAGATTCAAGTTGAATAAAATTGAGTTCTGATAATGCATATATTTATTTAAACATTTTTTTGAAAATGACAATAAAATAATATAAAATAGCAATAATTATTTTTATAGTAACAAGAAATTAGAATAATGTTTAACTAATGGGATATTGGAAATATGATTTTAACCAAAAACAAGTAGACATTTAAATTATTTTTTTGAAATACAATCATGTGCACATTTGCTCTCAGCCCTTTCGTGTAATCGTGTCTCGTTTAAAATTAACTGATCGGTGAACAGAATTTTGACATTATTTTTTGATCTAACTTATACTTATTATGAAAATAAATGTATAATATTATTAATGTTGGTATAGTATTAAATATAATCATGTTATATAAAAGTGCACTTTACGGAAACTGGAAAAGTATGATAACAAGATCCTCCTAGAAGATATTTGTCCCCTTGGCTCCAAATGTACAAAATAGTTATGGTTATATCCCCTCCTAGAAAAAAATCCTAGATACGCCACTGTAGGTAACTGAATATAAATGGAATACATGAAATGGGTAGCCCTTACAATGATGAACAACCCATTCTTTGCTTCATTTTTTCTATGTATTAATAAAAATGTATTTTGTAAATATTTCATACGACAAATTACATAATATAAATAATATCAAATAATCAAAAAAAAAAAAAAATTATTAATGAAAAATGATCACCCGATGTATATATATATAATTTTAACAACACGGGACAGTTATAATTATCATAATAGTAGTTATAATAAAAATAATAATAATACGGTAATACTAACCACCCGCTGCAATACACTCGTCGTAATATAATAAATATATTTATATACGATACAACGGCTACACAGATGACGCGCGACCGGACTCGTATGGACGACAATACAATTAGACGGTCGATCCGATAAAATGAACGACGTCAAACAATTTAACCGAATGTTCGACGTAATCAAATCAAAAAGGAGTATCGCACCCGAAGAAGCGGTGACATAAAAAACGCAACTTGAAAATATTTATATACATTGTATGTATATTATAAGAAGAAACTCAAAAATACGGCACGTATTTGGTCGGAACCACACCACAATGAGGTGGTTTACAGTCACGGGAGCTCACACGTTTACGAAGGCTACAAGGCAGCACGTCGACAACACGACAGAACACGGTCAAATGCGGCCGACGTCAGCCCGGCGGTGTCGAACACGAGATCGGGAGTGGTGGGTGACGACTGACAGCAAAAACTGACGTTCGCGGATATTTTCCACTGCTCTCGTATCACGTACCCCGATAACATGTTATGAACAGTTCATTAAATACCAATTTCAAACAAAACCAGAACACCAGTCAGTATAGGTAGCACAACTATTACACAGCATAGTTTTTCTTTTATAATAATACTCAGGGCCGCGAAGACAGTGCCCTACAACCGGGTGTGCAGGGTGTGCGTTGCACGCAGACCCGGACCTCGTACCACATTATGGGGCCTCAAAAGGTGTTAAATGCTCAAAAATGTACAACAATTAGGGGCTTCAAGATTTTGATCTGCATACGGACCTCAAATGATTCAGTTGCGGCCTGGGCCGCTTCATATCGGGCCGAAGTCTGGTTACCTTTTTAAATAAAATCTTCATTATAAATTTAAAACCTACTCTTCTAACAGCTCTAACTACAATTTTTATTCAGCTATTGTGTTAACTCTTCAATCTTCTTTGATAAAATGAAAGTACGATTAATGGAAAATTAATTTTAGAATAAACTGTTTCATTATCTTTATCGTAACACACGTATTTTCATATGTTAACGAATTGTTTTTTCTTGTTTTTAGTACAAAAAATAAATATACACTTTTAGTTGTAATTGTGTTTTCAATCAATTACATTGATACTATTGATGATTATTGGGAACATTGCATGGATCGTAATATTCTGCATCATGACCGTAAAAAATATAGGTTATCTTTAACATTATATTTATATATTAAATGTTTTAAAAAATTTGTTCTTGCTGGATGTTTTATCTAAAACCTTATACCTAAATCTTTACTCTGCTTATAAGTCATATATCACTAAATGATAAATAAATAAAATACAAAAATATATATATTTCACTCGATTAGTAGTACTTGTTATATAGCAGGGGTGGCCACAACGAGGCTCGCGAGCCACATGCGGCTCTTAAATCAGTTTCGTGCGGCTCTTGAACTAAATTTAGACTAAACTTAAATAATATAAAATTTGTTAATATCGTTAGAAACGTTAGATAGCATTTTTATTGCCGTCGATTTCGTTATCATTACAGTCGTTATTACGACCGCGTCAGACGACGACAATAATTTCCGGCGACAATTTTCGTTATCGCGTTGCCGCGTTAATGTTTTTAATATTTTTCTGTGTGCTGTTTGAATACAGTTGTAGCCTAGTGTCCGAACAGTTGCCGCGTTAATGTTTTAAATATTTTTCTGTGTGTAGTTGTTGTGTGCTGTTTGAATACAGTTGTAGCCTAGTGTCCGAACAGTTACGATGTTATCTATGAAGCGTAAATATGAAGAGGAGAATCGAGCTTTTAATACAGACTGGGAGGAAGAATTCCTTTTTGTAGAAAGAAACGATAAGCCAATGTGTCTTTTATGTCAAGTAACTTTGTCACAGTTTAAGGCTAGTAATCTAAAACGCCATCATGACAGTAACCACAGTGGTTTTAATAAAGATTTTCCTGTTGGCTCTCAGTTAAGGAAAACCAAACTGAAATCACTTAAAGAAAAACTTCATGGTCAGAGTAGAGTTATGTCAATGTTTACCAAGGAAGCAGATTTAACAACTGAGCTGTACAAGCTTTATCTTGGCTTTTAATATTGCAAAAGCAAAAAATCCTTACACAGAGGGGAAGTATATTAAGAAAAACATGGCTCAAGTTATTTCGGTTTTAGAACCGGAAAATAAAAAACTGCAGAAATTAATAAACGAAATGCCTGTTGCTAGACACACAATAGAGAGGCGAATTTCTGCTATTATTGCCGATATTTTAAATAATTTACAAACAAATTTAAGCAAGTGTTTAGCAGTAAGCCTAGCACTGGACGAGTCTACTGATATTAAAGATATGCCACAACTTGTCATATTTGTGAGGTATGTGTCAAAAGACTTAGAGGTGGTGGAAGAACTTTTAAACCTGGTTACTTTGAAGAATACTACTCGGGGTTATGACATTAAAGAAGCCCTGGATGGGGTTTTACAGAAAAACGCAGTGCCCATCGGTAATATAGTTAGCATTGCTACCGATGGTGCACCTTCTATGACTGGTACAAAACAAAAGCTTATTGGACTATTAAAAGCTGACATATCATATCCTGATTTCCTACCTGTACACTGTATTATTCACAGAGAACATTTAGCAGCAAAATATTTTCAATATCCACATAGTATGCAAATAGTTCTAAAAATTGTAAACTGTATTCTCTCATGTGCCAAAACACACCGACGGTTCAAATCTTTTATAGAAGATATGAACAACTATGAGTTACCTAATGATGTATCTTGGTACTGCTTAGTCTGTTTAGATGGCTATCAATAAGCAATGTTCTTGGCAGTTTTTTGAGTTACTTGATCCAATCAAAAAGTTTATGGAAGAAAAAGGAAAATCTTTTCCTGAACTTAATGAACCCCAGTGGTTGTTAGATTTGGCTTTTTTTACAGATGTGGTTCAGTATTTACAAACTCTAAATAAATCTTTACAAGGAAAGGAAAAACTTATTTCTGATTTGGCCCAGATTGTATTTGGCTTTCATAACAAGTTAAAGCTTTTTACAAAAGACCTTCAGACAAAAACATTTGCTCACTTCAAATGTTTGAAGAAAATTAGTGAAAGCTTTCCCGACATTCCGGTAGAAACTGAAGAATATATGAATAAGATATCAGGCCTTGCTGAAGAAATCAATCGCAGATTTAATGATTTAAGATCACTTAATACTGGAGTGTCGCCAGTGGGCGGCTTCTCCTTTCATGTTTTCTGACTGTAACCTTAATTGTTAACACTTAAGCTTATTATACACAATTTGTATAGATTGTTTAAATTCAAATAAAGAACAAAAAAAAAAAAAAAAAAAAGATCACTTAAACCTTCATTTTCATTCCTGGAAAATCCTTTTGCTGTTGATGTTGTGAGCGATGGCTGTCCTATTTCATCACCAATAACAAAGGATATAGCAGCTGTAGAGTTGGAATTACTAGAACTGCAAGAAGACGAAGGACTAAAAGGACTTAAACGAAGTGGCGTTTCAACCATAGAATTTTGGAAAAAATGTCCCAGAAGAAAAATACCCACAAACAAAAATGTGCGCTATGAAACTTATTTCAATTTTTGGCACTACTTATGTGTGTGAATCATTGTACTCAACGTTAAAATTCATTAAATCTAAATATCGATCTGAACTAACTGATGAACATTTAAGTGAACTTGTGCGAACTGCTCTTACAAATTATCAGCCAGATTTCACAAAGCTCACAGAAAAAATGAACACTCGAAAAAGCACTTCTCATAAATAAATCAATAATAATGTAAATGACTATGTCAATAATAATAATGTTTTATGTAATGTAAAAAATAAACGTTCCTTCAATTTGAGTTCATTTTTCAATGTGTCTTCATTTCAAAAACATCGCTTTACAATGTGGCTCACCTCAAATTAGCTTTATAAATTTACGGCTCCCAAAGTTAAGGTTAGTGGCCACCCCTGTTATATAGTTATGCATTCAGGGATAATATTCGTAATTATACTTACCAAATAATCTTCACGCCATATCGATGAGCTTACATCGTTCTCCTGTATCATGTTATAAATGTTCGTTCCTCATAATATGGAATTTAAGATAAAAATGTCGGTTAAGTATATAGTTGGAAAAAGCTCATTACTACTGCTTTTGAATATAGTTAATCAGTTATGTTTTCGATATTTAGATTAGGTAATTTAAAATAATAAATATTAATTTAAAACTGGAAAAATGAGTAGCAGTGGTAAAATAGGACGCAATCCCAGATTAAGAAGGGTCAGGGGCCCCATCCTATACACGTGGGACATGTATAAAGGGCCCCTAGGCTAAAAATTACATTGAGTAATAATTTGTATTTTTTATAGTATCTACGATTACAAGAATATTTTTATGTTTTTTCTTGTTTGGGGCCCGTGACATGCTTACATATATATACGAGTATATATATATGTGTGTTTATATATATAATATAAATAAAATCTTAAAATCATTTACTACACAAAAAGCAAGAAAAATTACTTTTACATAAACTATTTATTTAATTTAATTTGTAGGTATATGGAATATAATAAATTACAATCTGTAATATTTGTATTATACAAAATTAAATATGTTTAAATTTTATATTATTATATATTTTCATAATATTAATAAATTATTTTCTTTGGTAGGGGCCTAACCATCCTCATGGGATCAATACACTACTGTCTAGTAGACATAACGTGGTTGTGGTGCCAACTGAATTGATGAGTAGTTCATCGTCATGCTAGAGCTGACAGCAGCTAACAATTACTGGAATAGATTGCACTCTATTATAGAGAATATGGGATTGACAAATTCAGACTTATATGGCAAGAAAGTGCAGCAAAGTTCTTCTCATCCTCATGAAGTGAATTGGGATTCACCAGTGGTAGTGACTATAGCCCATTACCTGGGTTGCTGTTTGGGGTAAGGGAACCGGATGCTGGGTCCAGTGATGTCAGCGGTCGGCGGCCGGAGACGTGATTGCGGAGCCGGTGGTTGTGGACGCGGCTGTACAGTCGGCTGTTGCGGCCGTAGCTGCGGAGTCGACTGCTGCTGGCGTGGTTGTATGTACTGTGGGCACTGGTTTCCGCCGTCGTTGCTGGGCCGGTCTCCCGGACACCGGTTGCACTAGGCGTGTCGGACGTCCTTGCGTTGTCGCCGCTGTCGGTCTCCGGACCGTCCGCTGTGCGTGGCGGACTGGACCCGATACGGGCCGGCGGTTCATCGGTACCGTTGGATGGTCCGGAGCTGCCGCGCGTGCTCGTGCCATCCCCACTCGTACGCCGCCCACAAACGGGGGTCGGCTCGTAATACCGCCGTGTCCACGTCACCGATTTGCTGCACCGACAATTCCTGCGGCGTGTCCGGCGGAAACACCGCCCCCAGCCCGATCAGCGTGTCCCGTGTTCGCCGTAGGAGGTTGAGTTGGGAGGTGGTCTGCCACACCATGTCCTCCAAGCTCGACCTCAGGTGAGTCCTACGCAGACGTCAACGGTTGTCTCGGAGCTCCGCGGGTGCATTCCCTTCGTGTGAAATCTATGGAATAACGACCATTTATTATCTAACAAAAGAAAGAAAAATATAGCAAAAACCATCTGTGACACCACTAGTTTTTTTTTTCTTTTGTTTTTCGCACGACTTAGCCGACTGCGGAACGAATATCAGTTCGTATGGGAGGGTTTTAAACTGGAGACGTGCACCTTGCGCGGTGGGTTCTGATCTGTCCAAAAAACCCCTTTCCCCAGTTTTCCTGAAGTGTGACGGAGCCCATCCATTTCGCGGCGAAGCCCGTGTGGAAACCCTGATCGGCTTTGGAGAGTGGGTGTACCTTCACGAAAAACTGGTCCCCGACAGCAAACGCACGTCGGTTTCTTTTCGATTTATCGGCACCCGTGTTCATGTCCGATTTTGCCGGAACCCACGGCGTACTATCAGAACTCACGGTTAATGCCCAATCTCCAGGACTTTTAGTTTCATATCAAAATACCGAAACTGAAGGTGAAACGCCGGTCCTGTCGTTCTTCCGGTCGCGCAATGTAAATAGAACCGAAGAAAGTTTCTGGTCCTATGAACGATGATTATCATTCACCAGAAGTGCTCGCAGGCCTTTTTTCAACTCCTGATTACGTCTTTCCACCGGATTGGCCCTCGGGTGGTATACTAGGGTAGTCCACCCCTCCATCCCTGTGCGCGCGAAATTCTCGCAGGTGTATGTTACGAGAGCTTATCGCCACGGCAGAATCCAGTAGATTGCCACACGTATAGATGGAAAATTAAAGAATGAAGTAGGAGGGATATAATAAAATGATCAGCAATTGGTTTATCAAATACAAAGTCTTATTAGATTAAATTAAATAAACATTGAATAAGAACATTGAATAAGCTTATTAACTAAAAGGCAAAAGGGGGGGAGAAGCAACGTATAACGTATAAAATAAATGTCCCCAATGGGCGCATAGGACAAATATATTTTGTTTTCATAAAATAATTAAAAGGTTGACCTGTCTTCAAACGGTGCCACGATGATTGGTATCCGAAATTATCTACGTCCACACTAAATTAAGTTTCATAAAGTATAGTTCACTTATTAAACGACGAAGGCGTACGTATCACGTGTACGACGACGAAGGCGCACGTGTCACGTTTACGACGACGAAGGCGTCGAATTATAACCCAAAAAAGGCGACGAAGGCGCACTTAACTAACGGCGACGAAGGCGTCGTTTTATAACCCAAAAAAAGCGACGAAGGCGCACTTACCTAACGGCGACGAAGGCGCACGTGTCACATGTTCAAAAAACGAAGGCGATAGAAAAAATGGCGACGAAGGCGCACGTACATCCAGAATACAACCACAAAACACACAGGCACACGAAAAAGTGAATAATAACACGCAGTTTAGATCGTGTTTTACACTCCTGTGCTGGCGGTGAAAAAAAAGAAAAACATATATGATCACTATACGCGTTACCAACTCGTCCACGCCAGGACACGCGGTAGTATTACCAACTGCGCCTTATTGTTGATATGTAACAGGACCGAACAATCCCCCATCGGTTGAATGCACTTGTCCACACATCCGAGGTAAACTGAGGGCCATTATCACTTAGTAGCACACGTGGGTAACCAAATTTCGCGAAAAATTCCCTTTCCAAAGTTTGGGTAATTACGGTAGCCGTTGCTGCACCCAAGGGATACACTTTCACAAATCTACTGTGACAATCAGTGGCTACTAAAATATTGGTTTTACCCCGACCCGTTCGTGGGTAAGGACCCATTAAATTGACACTTACCACTTCCCATGGTTGGGCTGGCTTTCTAGGGCGTAACGGAACATCGATTTTATTATTTAACGGTTTAGTACATTTGCATATGTGGCAGGCCGCCACGTAACGCCGAGTAGACTCCCGTACGGACTTTCAATAAAACCTATTTATTATCGCCCTATATGTCTCTTTCCACCCCGGGTGTCTCGCCAGGATGTGGTCATGATAACGCCATAGGATATGATCCTGTTTGTCAACGGGTATCACTACCAAACTACTTATCATATTATCTACATTGCCCCCTACTTTCTTTTTCTTGTGTAGGCCCTCCTCGAAAATGAAATTATTGAATTTTTTTAGTCAGTCAAGACACGTATTACTCACCGGACCATCAGACTTAAAAATAGACAAAATATTTTGGATTTTGGGGTCCGCACCCTGCCAATCTATTAATGTCTGAAGGGAAATGGGGCTCTCGTCGCGCGAGTTTGGATAAATATGATAAAGTTGTTCTGGTCCTCTATTTCCGATTACCATGTTACTCGTTGGAAAACCAACCAAATTTTCCTCTAACGCGTCTTCATTCAAAGTCGGACCGTCCGTGGGAAATCGAGATAACATATCGGGACCCTCATTTTGTATTCCGGGAACATGTCTAACAACGAAATCTAATGTCCCTAACTGTAGCGCCCACCAAGTTAGCTTACTGTTTTTATCTTTTGCTCGATGAAGCCTCGTCAGCGCCAAGTTATCGGTTTACAGTTCAAAGGTAAGAGATTCCAGAAAAGGTCAAAATTTATCAATCGCCCAAATTAGCCCTAAGCACTTACGCTCTACCGCCGCATATTTACGTTGCGTTTCGCTAACTTTTTACTGGCGTATGCAATTATTTTTCTTTCTAGGGTATCCTCCTGTTGAAATAAAATTGCGCCAACCCCTACTCCGGACCTATCC